CTTTGACGATCTCGGAACAAATTAAGCCCTTGTCTGAGCCTCATTATATTACATTTCATTTTTCTCTCTGCTATTTTCAACCATACAATCTTTCATAAAATAATATTACACGTAAATCGAAAACTTTTCATTCTTTTTCAACTACTCATTTTTCAAAAAAACACTATTCCACCCATTAACTTTTCCACGTAATGGGGGTCAAACAGGGACTAAGTTTGGTGATTTAAAAAAACTTCAATGGAAGTTGGGTGACTAAATAATGATTTTTACCTCTCTAATAACTTGTACGACATGCTAGACCATATATTTTTTGACAAGATAATGAATTATGAGATTCGTTGTCTTAATTTTATCTAATATTAACCAATGCAGAGCACAAAAGGTTCCCTGTAAACATTTAGATTTGAAGATCTGATTCCAAAAAGTTGTAGCCATCGACTGTGAATTACGTTTTTTCAATCTCAAATCTTTCATTCTTTATAATAATTCTATTCTCTTTTGGTGTGTGTCTTCAGTGGAAGACATTTTAGTACTAAATTCAACTTTTTAACTATTCCAAAGATTAGATGCTTTGATGCTATCCTCACAATCAGAAATTCTGTCTTCAGGAATTCGTGAACCCACAACTTGGTTCATTTTCATTTTTTAATTCCATGTTTATTTTGATTAGTTGCCAGAAATTGTAAAACTTTGAAATATCATATTATGCCCTCCTACTCAAGTTGGAACTTTCAATTTAATTTCTGCTAAAATAAATCTTAATCCCTAACTTTAAGAATAATCAATATAAAAGAGAAATCAGTGAAAGATTAATGAATACAAGATTTATAGTCATTTATCGTGGACATGAGATACATACCGCTCTCTACTTCATATTATCACCGTACCAAAGAAGGAAATTAGAAAATTTTCTTCTCGATGCACCTTCATCTTACATTAAAACGCTCTCTTAATTTTTTTATATAGGGTAAAAATTAGGCCAGCCTACTACAGAAATATTATAAATACTCCTCATGACCGATTAACCATTTAGAAGATGACTGAGAATGTTTAATTAATCAATCCAATACATTTATAACAAACCATGGTGTTTAAGTTTGTAGTCTAACATGATATTTGGAGGTAAAAATCTTGATCAAACAACTTACATTATCGACGTATTTTTGCTTATTTATTGATGAATTTTCCATCAAGAAATCGCCATAGTCTTGTATTTTTCGTATTAGGTTGAATTTGTAATTCTACTTAAAAATGCACTCCACAAAATTAGATATAAAATCTGCAATTCCTTGTCATTTCCATACATTGTCCTAAGTTTTTGAATTGGACAGTGGGATCAAATCATTGTGCCAAATTTAGTTAAGATCTTATCAAAACTTTTGGCTGTGACTGGGACCTATCAATTGGTAGTCTCCGTGTCATGAAGACCAGTGGTCTCCATAAGGTCTCCTAGACACGCATCTACGTGTGGTCTGTCATGGTGACCTATTCGTGCTGATCTTCAATTGCTTACCTTTTTCAGCCAAATAAGTACATTTTCCTATTAAATGTGTGTACACCTTTTCCAGCTCCATACAGGCAGGGGCGGATTTAGCAGTGGGCTGCACTTGGCTGCAGCCCACTGTCTTCCAGGCCCAGATACAACAAAAAAAAATTTGGGTTTGAATTCTAATTATTCAGCCACATTAGCCCACTAACAAATAAATTCAGTGGGCTAGCCCACTTAAAAAAAAAATTATTTGTAGCCCACTAACCTATATAATTTTAGGCCCAAAATAATACCCATTCCATTAATCAAATAATTAATCCCCAATGCCCAAACATTTTCCATTCCTAATGTGCAAAATGAACTCACACAAACAGCCAACATTTTCCATGCCGGTTTGTGACGTTTGTCCTTGCTCGTAGCCACCGGCCGAACGAAATTGTTGATTACCGACTGGCCCGACTCAAGCCTGCTGCCGCCTGCCTGCCTACCGATTCGCCGCCTCAAACCTGCCTGCCGATGACTTGGGTTAGGTTTTTAGGGTAAGTAATTTACTATTTAGTTTCTTGTTTAATTCATCAATTGTTTGTCTTTTAATTTGATTTCCAGAAACAGAAAGTAAATGTGAAATAAATAATGAATAGCTTGGAGAAGTAGAAAAAATTGGTTTTCCATTTTTAGAATTATCGCCCCTGCTCGCTAGACTGGTGCTGAAATAAGAAAGGCTCCTAATTGGCTAATTCCTAAACTTATTTGGGCTTGCTTTACTTTGGCAATGGCGGTGTGGTCAATTGTATAATTTGTATTGTGCATGTTTATTGTTAATTTAATGTGCTTACCTTCTCAGCATGAGTATTGATACAGAATATATGGAGAATGCTGGATAAGAATTAAAGAATAATAAGTCCTTGTTTATTAATCTTAACATACTGAGATTAATTCCCTAAATAAGCTTGCTGTAAACATGTGAGTTCACTAATGCTTTGTTTTGTTATGTAGACTCTAGATTCTTGAACAATATTAAGCCATCATTTTTAGTAACTTATAAGTTATTTTTACTATCAAGTTAAAATCAAACTTTAATTTTAATTACATATTACAACTACTATTCATTATTATTCACATATTTCATAATCTCCATTCTCCATCAATATTCATCCTAAATAATTCCTAATAAATCTTTCCTGAACATAGGCTAAGTTAAATCTTTCTATTTTACGGTCAAGTTTAGTCAAATATTGTATAGCTAGCATGTTCTTAGATCTTATGCAATAAACTTAGTTCTTGTTTGATGAAGTTTTTGTTTGCTAAAAAACGGGTCTAACTCATTTTTTCACTAGATCAATACCTAGGAGAACTCATTGAAAACTACAAATTGAGTTGAGGGGTCAATTTATTTTCTCCTATAGTTTTTTTCCTTTTAATAATATGGGTATTTTGATCTGTAAGACTATAACATAATTAATACATTTAAAGACAGAAAGTCACTTTGGTTTTGTCGAAGTTCTATATTTATGTAAGAGAGATTTTAGTTGACTGGCCATTGTTTGTCTTGTCTAGGGTCATTAAGTTGGATATGTTTGATCAAATGCAGAGAAGTTCAAGTGAAGTTTAACATATAAAATTTTGTGAAAGGGATGGGAAGGCATTTCCAGCTAATGTGTTTTGCTGTTTTTAGTGCATGTGATAATCTAACCTAGTCTTAAATGTTTGGGACATATGTAGTTTAGGGAATGACTTTGATTTTAAGTCATTAGGGGTTTTATGAATACCATTTCCTGCCAACCATTGTTGTGGGGGATTTTACTTCAAATGTTCCTATTGGCAAATGAATGATTTCAATGACGTACATTACCAGATTTCAATGTTTTCTGTTGATGGTTCCATCTATTTAAGTCAAATATGCGTTTATTTTTGCTTCATGAATTGATCTGTCCTCCTTGTTCTTCTTGTTGTAATTATGATATCTATTAAATAGAAATACTTGTCCCTAAATTGCTTTTTATTTTTATGCTTTTAGATTTAATATGGAAGAAGATCAACCTTCTAGCAAGAAAGGTAGAACCTTATTGTCTTTCTTTTCAAAAAGTAACAAATCTCAGGATTCTCCAATTCCTACGGTGTCCATTCCCCCAATTTCATGCCCTGAAGTTGAACGGGCTTCATCTTCAAATCTTAATTTTGAACCATCTGATTCTATTGAACGAGACCCTGGAAAAAAAAACAAATATGTGAACATTCATTTAATGATCGTGATCACATTTGGTGGGCTTATCTAAATGTTGGACCTTATCAACCAAAACTTTTGGAGTATCAGAGCAAAGAATGTGGAAAGCAGAAACGTCAATTTCAGGAACATTGGTATAATCAGTTTCCTTGGTTGGAATATTCGCCTTCAACATATAAGGCATATTGTTTTTACTGCTTCCTTTTTCTCAATGATAGTACTCCACCTAATATTTCATCATTGATTACTGTTGGATTTGATAGTTGAAAGAGGGTTAACCAAGGAAGTAAATGTGCATTTTTTATTCATGTTGGTACAACATCGTCATCGTTTCATAATGGCTGTAAGAGAAGAGCTGAAGATCTAATGAAACCAACTCAACATATTGACAAGGTAATGCATTCTGTATCAAATGAGAAAAAACAGAAAAATCGTTTGCGTCTAAAGACCACTATTATGAGTGTTAAGTGGTTAGCTCTTCAAGGTTGTTCCTTTAGAGGCCATGACGAATCTCCATCTTCACTGAATCGTGGGAATTTTATTGAATTGGTGGATGCATTTGAAAAAATGAATATTGAAGTAGGAAAAGTTGTGTTGAGTAATGCTCCCAAAAATGCTACATACACGTCTCCAGACATTTAAAAAGAAATTTTGAGCATTATAGCAAATAGAGTACGACAAGGAATTCGTACGAAAATTGGGAATGCAAAATTTAGTATTCTTGTTGATGAAGCACGAGATGAATCTTCACGAGAACAAATGGCTATTATCCTGAGGTTTGTGAATAGTAATGGAATTTTGACAGAACGATTTTTTGCAATTAAAAGTATTAGTGACACTACCTCATTAAATCTTAAGAATCAGATTTCTGATGTTCTTGTTCGTTTCAACCTTCAAGTGCAAAACATGAGAGGCCAAGGGTATGATGGTGCTAATAATATGCGTGGTTCTTGGAATGAACTACAGGCATTATTTCTTAAAGATTGTCTATATGCATACTATGTTCATTGTTTTGCCCATCATTTACAACTCACATTGGTTTCTGCAGCTAAGGATGTCTCAGATATTAATTCATTTTTTTCTCATTTGGACAATATTATTAATATGATTACATCATCTCCTAAGCGCATCAATGAGTTGAAAAGTGCCCAAAGAAAAGAAATTGAGCATTTGTTAGAAATTGGAGAACGGGAGTCCGGAAGTGGTGCTAATCAGATTGGTAATTTGCAATGAGCCGGAAGTACTCGTTGGTCTTCTCATTACAGCTCTGTAAAGAGTTTGATTGATATGTATGCTGCAACTTGCAAGGTGCTTGAGTATCTTAGTGATCATTCTCCAAGTACAAGATCTCGATCCGAGGTTGGTGGTGTATACAAAACCATAACAACATTTGAATTTGAGTATCCTACCATTGAACATCATTACCACTTTGATATTTTCAATGCAGCTATTGACTTTCAGATGATGGAGTTAGATACAAGATTTAATGAGACATCAATAGAGCTCCTTTCTCTCAGCACAGCTTTGGATCCAAAAAATTCTTTTGAATCATTTAATATGGATAATATTTGCAAGCTTGCAGAGAAGTTTTATCCTGAAAATTTTAAACAACAAGATATTTATTGTTTGAAAGTTGAGTTGCAACACTATCAAAATGATGTGATTTCTGAACCTCGATTTCAAGTACCTACACTTTCTGATTTATGTCGGGAATTAGTTGCAAGCAGAAGGTCGGAGAGTTACGTCATTTTGACTAAATTGATTTGTTTAGTACTGACACTACCTGTTTCAACGGCGATTGTGGAGCGAGCTTTTTCAGCAATGAAACATGTGAAAACGAAAATTCGTAACAAAATGGATGATGATTTTCTTACTGATTGTTTAACACTCAACATTGAACGAGAATTTAGTATGAATTTAGATCTAGATTCTATTATAGATGAATTTTATGCTGTAAAACATCGCCGAGTACAACTTCAATAGGTAACTTATATTATAAATTTTTCTTATTATATATAAATTTTATTCGTACATTAAATTTTTTAAATTTTTAGCCCATCGTAACAGTAATTCCTGGCTCCGCCCCTGCATACAGGAGAGTGAATGTGAGAATGAGACTTTAGCTAAATGTGCCGACAGTGAGTGAATGTAAGAAGGAGACGTTAGCTAGATGTGTGGGAGTTAGTGAATGTGAAAATGCAGTCTTAGCTAAATGTGTGGACATGGAGTGACTGTTAGAATGAGATTTTGTTGTGTTGTGATAATTGAAAGTTTTTGACACATTATGTATATATATATTTTTTTAAGTCACTTTTGTACACATCAATATATTCACACACATTAAATATTTATAAATCAATTTCTTTAATTTATTAAATCTAACTGAGTTAATCAAATTTTCCTGACATGAATTCTTTATCGTGCCAATGTAATTTTGACTGAATACTCATTGGAAGAGGTCGAAAAAGTAATAAAGTGTTGAACGACAAAAGAATATCGATGCAATTTATGACATTTCATGTCGTTTTCAACGCTTCGAAAGTTGCTACCGACATTTGTAATCGGATCAGATCAACACTTGACATTATAGTCATGTAGCGTTAACATTTATACAGAAATAGAAAATTTCTTGATTCTTTAAATGTAGTTCTCGACACTTGACATTACATTTATATAAAACGATGTTTCCACGAAAACAATTATTTCTCAACATTTCGTACAAATCTTGACATTTAACGTGTAATTCTCGACATGAAATGCCTGCATATCTCAACACTTGATATTTCATTTGTCTCGACATGAAATGACTGCATAACAGTATATCTCAAAATACAATGTGTTCGTTACATTTCGAACACGGTACATGGACCCCGATTGTGAAATCTAATCAACGGTCACATGGTCAAAGATAAGACTTTTACACTATCTATCAATATAAGCTCCAAACATTTATTAATTGAAAAAATAATGATCATTTTATTCTCATGCCAATATGGAACTGGTAAAAAGATACCCTATAGACCTTCAAATGTGAATGTTTCACAATAACTAAGTCAACATGATCATAGCAAATATACGAAGACATTAAATAGCAACCAAAGTCAGTACAATGAAATGCAGTCTATAAAAATAAAAAAATAATTAAAAAAAGGATGTTCCTTACAACATGAAATAGTCTTTATCTTACTTGTGCATATTGCAAGCCAACAGTAGGAACTATTATAGCAATAAACTATTTTAAGCATGCAACCTTCCGAACATGCCACCAATATATAAAACACAAGTTCGCATGGACAAAATGTCGGACAGCCAATCCGGACTGTGAACAAAGATACTTGAATATAGTCTACACAACCTTCTTACCTCTCTTGCGGCCCAATCGTGTGAACGGTGTCTTAGTGTTCGCACTAGGCATCTTCAGCCTCAACGATCGAGGTCTACATAAGGGGAGATCAACAATCTTCGAGGGTTCAACAACGATGACATTGTCAATCGGTGGAGCATCGATGGAGACAGCAACTGTAGGTACAGTGTTTGGTGCCTCAGTTACACCATCACAAGCAGCATGTACTGACCCTTGGACTCCAACCCCAGCCATCAACATTCTGAACACATCATCGATCTGGCAACCAACTGCTTCGGTTGATGTTATGTGTCCACTAAAACATTTGGAGTCAAATTGTTATCTTAACCATCGTGGTGGGGCATATCTCCACCGCAATAGTCCTGAAATTTACCGTACTTGCCGGTGACATTGTGGCCCCCAAAGTTAGTAGTTGCTTCATCAAACATACGTTGAATCAGATTTACCTCATCAGTCACATGCTTTCTCAAACCGTGCGCATGACCACCCATTTCATTTTTCAAACTATCAAATCTCACATTCATTTCTTCCATCAACTTGCCCAACATACCCTTAAATTCCTCCCTTTGTTCATTCAAGAATGATCTTATCTCCTCTAAAGACAAGGGCCTCACGGGTGGACGGTGGCATGAGGTAGAAGATGGCAAGCCGATGAATGGGTCGTCATGGTCTTTATCTCCACCTTCAGCGGGATGCAAATCTCAAAGACGAAGTCCACCTGTGTTGCCTCTCCGAGATTTTTGTCCTTCATTATTGTTCACATTGTGCATAGCTTCACCTTCAGGTGGACAATCCTGTATGTCTATTGACTAAGTAATGAGGCTGTCCAGAATGGGGTCTGATGTGTCTTGTAAAGTAACAAAACCAGCAAAAATTGCTGCAATTCTTCCGCAGCAGTAGCAGTAGCATCGCTCACAAGTGCACCTACAAGGGGAGTATAAAAATGACAAAAATAATTATTAGCCATTCCAAAATTGTAAGAGTGATTTTATATGGAAAATGGTCACATGTGTCTTCTCGAAGAAGCCCGAATATGTTCGAGACTGAGGTTGTCTTGTAACAATCCACCACAATATCCTCGGAACATCGTCACCCTTCTTTGGCATAAATCGAGCTCCCAACTCTGGGATTATCTCATGCACCGACAATTTCATGAAAAACATAACAGTGGTTACTATATACAGAGGCACATAACAACGTAGGACGAGAAAAAATGAAATGAATACTGAACAAGTGTACCTCAACAGCAAGAGAGAAATTGTACGTGTAAGACATCCGATCACAGCGTGGACCTTTGCCAAGTCTTCCTTTCTCCCCCATCCCCGAAGAAGTGATTTGATAAGAAGTTTGAAGCATACTGTCCCCACGGGTAGGCATTGAAGAAATCCAAGTCATCCATGATGAAGAGAGTTTCAGGATGTATCCCCATGTTTCAATCTCTACAATTGAAAATCCCTTTAATAATTAGCGCCAACCTAAGTTTGTAATGATCGTTACACTTGGCACATTTTAGGAAAACATTCTCGAGGTAGCTACATGTTACCCGGTCTCTACGGGAATACAATTTGTCCCATAGTCGGATTTTTCCAAGGATGTTGCTAAAATCCTCACCTTTCGGTACTTCACCACACTTCAACCCGGTGATTAATGCAAACTCCGGCAGTACGAATTGTGCAAACCATTGGTTCACTTTGAACCAAGCTTTGGATCTTTTTCGACAAATCTGTTAACCACTTCGTGAATTAATTGTCTAAATAGTTTGGGCTTCAACAACTTCGCAACATGTCCTATGTAACTTTCGTCAAATGTATGCTTTTGCTATGCATGGAGTTTGTTGAGGACAACTATTATATATTTGGTGTTGTACACTTGCGAGACTTGAGCCGGGGTGCACTTTTCCTCCAGAACGTTATATCAGTGTGAGAAAGTTATCTATAAATCGCAAAAATAATATCTTATTAGTGGACCGTATTTCAGATACAACTAATACCACTAATGTAAAATTGTATCGCTAATATATCATCAAAATATTGTGTATTAATGAGAATATATATTTCGTGATTGATTTGAAAGCAACACAAAAATATAACATACACAAGTTCTGCCAGATGGACAATCTAGAGATTGTAGCATGAATACACAGAAAACTACATAAGATAAAATTTTAAATGTACAAATATCAATGAAAAGAAAATAAAATCACTTATTCGTTGATATAACAAATTCCACCTGTATTAGGAATGCAAAAAAAATAATCATAGAAGTAGTTTAAGGTCCCTTTTAGCATCAAGATCCTCTGGTCATTGCAATGAAAGGTGTTTATAAATCAATTAATGTAGGTTTTGGTTAATTAGAACAATATCAATTCAAACAGCTGGTTTGTATACAGAAAATGGCTTAAAACCCAACGTCTATTGGTACAGATAAGCAATCAACACAAATGAAATAATACAATCATATTCATATTCACATCCCTTATATTTTGTCTTGGTAAACACGATTCTTTGAGTTAATTGATTTTTTTCTTCCTTACCCAGTCAAGTTCCAAATTCTCCTCCCATAATGAATGACACTATTTTCAACAAAAAGTCAAGAAGATCCATAGTATAAAATTTTAAAATATATCAATCTTACAGCAAGTTGTCTGTCTTCAAGGTAATGCTTTTGGACAAGGTAAAAGCACAATCAATACAATCTTACAACTAACCTTAATGAAGGACCATGACATAAACCTATTATATTATACCTAAATGACCTTCACGTTAAAAGAGAGTATAGATATTTATATAAAGGGGTTGAAGCTACTCTGTTGTTATCTTGAGTTTCCAGGAGCGAGTTACACTTTTACTAATGATGGTTTTAATATAATCTTGAGAAAATCAGGGATCATTTTCTCGTTTAAGCACTTACTAAGGTCGAGCCTACTGGGTGTGGATGGTCCTTTAGTTCCTTCAAAACCTTTGAATACCTGTTATCTGTTATGTTAGTTGAAGAGTTCTGTAATGAAAATTCAAGGCCAAAACGTCAAGAATTTATGAAGTTTCTAACATCCCAAAATTTGGCATTTTTTACTTAGCTTAATTCATATGAAAATAATTTACAAAATAAAAATTATTGAGAATGGAAAGAGTTGAATTTTACTCTTCACCTTATGTTAATCTTAAGAATTCTGACAACAAGGTCTACTAACAACACGAATTAGGCAATAATAAACTTTTAAGAGGAATTTTTCACTTACTTCCCAACTAATAAAACTAACCAACTGACATGAAAAAGAGAAGAAGAAGAATTAACTATAACAAACCTAATAGAAATTGGTAGTGTTCTGTGAATGAAAAATCAATCATTTACATTGCAATTTTGGCAGTTTGAGATTTTATTTTCTCCATAGAAAACCTAATAGAGAACGAGACATCCACCATTCCAACTCCCAAATCAAATAGAATTGTCATTTAACATCCTATGAAAACAAAATGTAAATCAACGCAGTAAAACAAAATGCAAACAGATTTACCATATAACGTCATATGAAATCAAATATATTTGTCATATAAAATCCTATGAAAAGAAAATGTAAACCTAATAGAAGAATGCACTCAACACAGCAAAACAAATAGAAACCAACTACACAACATCAAATAAAACTCACATACATCAAATAAATATCGATGGCAAGAACTTTGACGGCGAAGACAATGGCAACGGCAAACAGCAAGAAGATAGGCTGGAAAATTTAAAAAAAAAAAAAAAAAAAAAAAGTCCCTCAACTCTCAAAGTTTCAAACCCTTTGGTCCCGTCCCTCTCGTCAACCCGTCAACAGTGAAATCCAATCACTCTAATCCAATTATAGATATTTAGGCAAGTGGGCATTGGGCATTTAGGTTGGGTTAAAGGTTTACTGTGAGTTTGGGCTACGCATTTAATGTTGATTGACATATGTAGTTTTTCAAACAAATAACATAGGTTATATGTCCCTATTTTATTGGCTAACATAATTTTTAATGATGTGAAAAAATTTGAATTTTAGGAGTGTTTGAGCCATATTATTTTGATAATAGTGCATTCTTAAATAGTGTATTGATGGAAAATGTGTGGTTAAAAAATAAAAAAAAGTTTTTGATCTGCGTGTAATATTATTTTATTGAAGAATGTGCAGTTGAAATGATATTAAATCACTGTTTAAAAATATATTTTTTTGAAATAATGTGACTCAAATAGGCACTTAGTGTGGAATTAGAAATTGTTAATAGGGGTATTCTCGTCCAAATAATTGCAAAATGGACATTCAAGAAATTTTGGACATTTTTGTAAAATGACTATGTGAAAATGGACATTTTTGGTAATTTTCTCATTATTAAAAAAATAACAACAACAATAATAATAAATAATGTGCACTTTATGTGCCCCGGGGCATAGTCTAGTGGTGCAAAGAACAGGAGTGAGGTTATTTTATGTCTTACTGGCAGTTGCAGTGTAGGGGTTCGATTCCTGAAACATGGAATTTGACTCCTTGTAGACGCAGCGTACAGGTTGTTCCCTGACTTGCTGGGGTACATCCCGCGATTTACCTCTCCTCACAAAGTTTTAGGGACCAGGCAGTGGGAACCCTCAAAGTTGGGGTTCAATTTTTTTTTTTTTTTTTTTTTTAAATTATGTGCTATTTTTTTTTTTTTTTTTTTTTTAAATAATGTGCACTTTATGCTGTCAATGCTTCCATTGACCGTTTAATTAGCCTTCCAGACCTAAACGCCATGCCTCGTGTCTTGGCATGCTATTTACAATACTAACTAAAACCTCCACGTCTCACGCCTAGACATGCTATCTACAACATTTACTAAAACCCATTTTTATCAAAGCCAAGTCAAGTCGACAGAGTCAAAACTTGAATAGGAAATGGCTTTTGGAAATAAGATGTATAATTTGTGAATATTTTTAGGAATAAAATGGACCAAGTTGGCAAGTTGTGATACGCATCCCATGTTTGGAAGTAGTCATATTCTTACATCACTTTCCTTTACCAGATTTTCTTTTTTATTCTTAAATTCAATATTAAATTAATTATACGTAATTTAATTGGACAGCATAATTAGATTCAATGAACTGATCAAAAAACATAAACAAACGTACAAGAATCAATTTTGTGAATGAATCAAACCGCAAGTTTACGAGCTTGAATATTTCTGAAAAAAAAAAGTCAAAAAATAGCATTAAAATGAGGTCTTTAACAATTGTGTAAAAAATCTTTGTGACTTACTAAATGTAGCTTTATGTTCGTCGGTCTCGTTAGTGAAAAATACAAATGTTATGTCTTACAATCTTTACGCCTTGTCTCGAACCCAAAAATTTCATCTATACCAAAATTTAGGGTAACACGTCGACTTTTTTCCTACCGTAAAAGCGAACTAACAAATTTCTAAGATTGAGAATATTAACAATGACAAGAAATTAAGACCTACAAAAATACATCATTTAACATTTCATTTTATTCCAAGTTCAAATACTAAAACAAGGATTCGAGTCCACAACTATCCTGCATTTCAAGTACATTACTGTATGACTCAACTGTTGGTGAGGGTATATCCTCTGGATACCTAGTAGGTTTAACCCACCTACGATGGAAATTACGTTCAAGCCCCTTATTCTCCAATTGGTACCAATTATGAGGAATTCTCAATTCATCCACAAGCATATTACAATCTTTATTCACCAACACTACATCCCTTCTAGCATCTGATCTAAACGTCGTCGTGCTGTCGAGAAATCCATCGACTAGATGAAGATATGTTTCGAGCATATGAATTCCCACTAAATTCAACCCTTTCTTTAGATATGGAGATGATCTTATATCGAGCTTCAGCTCTACTCCCACGTGAGTGTATATCCACTCCAACGTACCTGTAATATCATCAAATTTTTGTAGACTCTCGTTGAAGACTATACCGGGCATTCTTGGGACGACGTCCTGTTTTATTGTCATGCGTAAAGTCTTGACACCCATTTGATATAGTTCGTCCCGGAAGGCAATGTTGCCTACTCGGGGTGCTGCAAACGATACGACGCTGATTGGAAGGCTGGGGAAGTTTTTTGCAGCCTCGTATGCATTAAGAAGTGCCAATGCACCACCGAGACTATGGCCGGTGATTGTTAGGCTAACTTCTTCACCTCTTCCCTTGTAGTAATTCACTAGTTTCTTAACTTCTCTCATGACTTGTTCCGAGGCACTAGACTTGTTGTACCTAGTGGACTCACTCTTAGATGTGTAAAGACTGAGAAACCCATGTTCCACTTTTGCTTCTCCTTGTCCAATTGGCTCTAATTTCCTCTGCATATTATCATACCATTCGGATGGTGCGACCGTTCCACGCCATGCCACAACAATGTCACGTCGTCCAATTCGTCGTGTTTCTTGATCGTCGCTCACTGCCACAAACCCCATCCAGTTTGAATCTTTGCTCCATGTATCAGCAAATCTCGATCTTTCCAACCATTCGGGCAAATCTATATGCGACATAGCGTATACGTATTTTGCGACCTTATAACCACTTTCAATAAGTCCTAACTTTCCGAAAAGTTTTCTTTCATTGTACCGACAGCTTCCGCAATACTCCGAGAACGAATCGAAGTCGAATGCATCATAGGTTGCTTGTGCAAATTCTCCATATTTGACTATTTCTCTTCTAAGCCAAGGATGAAGTGGATCGAGAAGATTATTCCAGTCATTAGAACCATGAATTTCTTGCCATTTTTTGGATATATCTTCCTTAGGAGACATCGTTGAAGTATCGTGCTTATCTTCAATTCTTGGTACATTCGAAGGATGATAATTGAGGTTTCTTTCAATGTGCAGATGTAACATGTTTGACAATGATTCAGCCAGTTTAATGGCCTTGTTGGAAGGTTTTTGACTTGGGTGAGTTTCAAAAGGGGAATTTTGATAGGCATGGATTGATATGAAGAGCCCATTTTTGGTGGCGGCGGCGTGGTGGTGGTGGTGGTGGTGGTGGAGCGGAAGGATTGCTTTTGTGGTTGCGGCGGCGGCCATTTGAGTAGTTTTTTTCAGGCTCAAGAAGAAGGCTACGGTATATGTATATATATTTGTGTGTGTGTGTGTGTGTGTGTGTATATATAGGTGCAATTTTATGTAGGAGACTTTGAAACCGTATTATGTTTGATAATTGACCATGGCTGATTCAACATTATCCACGCGTTGGTCCGAAATTGGGGGTTTAAGCGAACCAGGTAAGAAATTTCGACTTATTTTGACATTCATATGGGGACTTTTTAAAATCGAAAGATTTTTTTCTTATAATATTCAAAATTTTAATGCTTTTTAAATAGTTTTCTTCCGCCTATATAAGAAAAGCCTGCATCGAGGAAAATTTCATATGAGACTACCTGTGGATCATACATGTGAGATGACCAGACTTTTGACGATGGTCTGGATGGATTAAATTTTCATACTCGTTCATTGAATAAGAACGACCCATGAATTATTTTTCAATGAACAAGTTAGACCCGACATATCCACCATGTGCGAGAATCATGTGGTAGTATAATGTGCGCTTGATGTGTTTGTGACCGTACTAGAAACTTATTAGTAAATGATACATCCCGACTGAAGCAATTCTTTGAAATTCGACATAAAAATTGATTGTTACCTTCCCGCTTCCTATTGCAGATATTAAGTGATGATGAGTAATACTTTGTCCACAATCCTAAGTAGGACGAAACACAAAGATTCTTGCAACCCATTTGGCATGAATTTTGAAAAGCTAAATGGAAGTTTTGAAACTCAAAAGTGGCTTTGGAACACAATTGGCTAATTTTATAAATGTGTCTTTCAGTAAAAGTTGGTCCAATGTGACGCCCTCTAAAAGCGCTTCTGGATAGAAAGTTCTTTTAAAAATTAGTTTTCTAACGAAAAATAAAATAAGATGGCTTCTTCTAAAAGTTCAGAAAGTAAAATCAAAAGTTATGCCATACAGATCATTACATTTTCTTGCTAACACTAATCAGTAGCAGGTAGGGACCGAACACAGATTCTTGATTTACTTCTACTTTCTTTAATACTAACCAGTAGTGCTGAATAGCAAATGAACCTAGTGGAATTCTGGCATCAAACAGGAACAGGTAACAAATTACAAGTTCTAAAACAGCGTATACAACAAACCCACAAGGCAACAATAAACCTGGTGCAACAAACTATGAACAAATTATCCAACTAATAGTATCAAATTCTCTTGGCAGCCTTTCTACAAACGTGAACATAGCTGCAATTAACTCACAAAATGTACATCAAACTGTAGAACCTGTTCTGGAAACATGAGATAACGCATCGTCAAACTGATCTTCATCACCCTTCTCAGAACTCAAGCTTGGTGGAATGAATGACCGGAATACTCGTTCCATACTCAGATTTTCTTTCAGTTCATGAGAAGCAACTTCAAGCGCTGTGGATTGGAAAAACCGATAGAATTTCTTTTGGCAAATAAACGCAAAGATAAAGGACAAAATTGGAAGGGGAATCAAAATGGGAGTGTAGTAAAACTTCTTCACTGTAAAGTAACCCAACATTGTAGCTTGAAATATGATCACAGTGGCCATAATGCGATTGTACATGTGGGGCCACATCCTTCCGTAGCTCTCGTACGAAGGAACGTAAACTTTAAGTGCCTGTAGGCATAAAAACTGAGTTTGAATATATGTTTCTGATTAAATAAATAAATAAAATAAAATAAAATAAATCTCTTATAGACGTAGAGTGGATATTGCCAGCATAATTGTAATAATTTCTAGTCCAATGCAGATTCCAGTATTCTTCAGTGAAGGATCCCTCATATTAAAAAAACTTATATTTTACAACCAAAGTGATTCATAATTCTTAAACACCAAGTTAGTTTAAAGCATTTTCACTAATTCTCATATTAGTCGAACTCATTTTATAACATAGTGCTACATGAAGTTGTAAAACCTATCTCATGCCAGCCATATTAAAACTTTTGTGTTGATTGCATCCAAATCCTGAAGTTAAAATCTTTAAGCTGAATATAGGTCATACTTGTTAAAGAGTCATTTGTTCTTCAAACATTTGATTTATTCATAGTTTCACACACACAATCACCAGGGAAAAACAACGATATGAAAAAATAACTTAATACTCAAAAAGGTAAAATAGTGAATGGTGATAATTGGAAGTCCGTTATTCATTTCACCAAGAACGATTGACCAAGTGAACAAAATTAGAGGACGTCACCTGATTCCGAAGAACAAGCCATCCCAAGCCAAAGTACACTACGCCGAACGGAATAATTAGAGGAGCTATTACAGAATAGCAAAGAACAATTGTGAGAATCAGCAGGTCACCAGGAACTCTAGTTGCATATCCAAGATCTCCAGGAGCCCAAGCTGCTTTTAGTTCAGCTTCAGTCTTGCATAAATACTTTTTCTTTAGGTGAAATATAATTAATGGAACTATTCGTGACAGCTCAAGCCCATAGCCAACAAAGAACCTGTCAATGCACCAAATCATTTTAGTCAATCTAAGACATATCAAGTTTTTTAAAGTTGGCTTTAATGACTTTTTAAGTTTTTATGAACATGTTTATAAACACTTGCTAAAAGTTAAACCACTTTTTATCAGCATATTTTGTGGAATCCACAAGTACTACTCATTTACCTACCCCTCATTTCTATTCGTTTATGAACCCAACTGTTTTTTATAAACATATACCATAGCCAGTGAAGCAGAATCTTATATTTACTTATTTCAGACATACTGCACCAGTATTCCAAAAAGAAATTGAATAGCACCATGAAGTAAAAACCAACAGATGAAATTATCGCTCACAGTAACTTCTTCTCCTAGTAAGTCAGAATTCCATATAAATTGAAAGGAAATTTATATCACGATAAAAACTTACTCTGTAAGACTCCAGAAAAGGTAAGAGAAAAGAAAGGTAATTTAAGAGAGACGGGATGATATCCGTATCTTCTTATGATTATCGTACAACTGTATTCACGCCAATAAAAAGGATGAATGGGAACAATGAATGTACCCAGTTGCCAGAAAAGAGAACAAAAAAGGATCAGTACATTGCCACCAAAACATCTCTATCCATATGCATGAATGCAAGAGAGAACAAATAATGGGGTCATTGGAATGTCAATGAAAAAACCTAAAAAACTGGAAGCAAAAATGAGGGAATGAACCACAGAATAGATGAATAAAAGATAAACATATACCACCAGAAATAAAAAGGAAAAAGTGATAGCAATCTTACCGCAAAGCCACAAAGGTCAAGAAGAAAGTAGCACTTTTTGGGAGACTTTGTGCTAGTAAAGGGACAATTTTGCTGGTATCCTTCAGAATGACCTTCACTGTAGTGAAAAGTGTTGAACCGATTGTAACACCAATAAATACATTTAGCACTGAAAAATAGAAGAACTTTCCAGAAGCAGCTCTTTCTGCATGACTCTGTGTAGGGATGCCCTCCTCCTTGGATAGAAACAAAAGAAACTTTGGCAGAAGAGCCATAAATATGATGAGTGCAAGCTGTGGTAGGTATGCCTCAAGAACTGTCTTGATTGCTTGCTGATCCACAACGGGTTTTAAAAATGGGAGAATCTTCTTTAAATTTTCCAGAGTAGTTAATGCAGAAATGAACCCAATTGGTATCATGTAAAAGAATATGGTCAAAAACACGATTAAGTAAATGACATACTGACGCATCTCTCTCTCGTAAAATTTTTTGGCAAGATTTGTCCATATTAACTGGCGAGGTTCAGGAGCGTTCATAACTGTCCATGTGTCGACCATTGTGGCATGTAGACTTTGTGCAGCAGATGAAGCAGTTACCCTGTTGGTAAAAAAGATTAGAGCCGAACATTGTTGTTTCTCCTTGAGAGTAACCTTTTGTTCTGCTTCCAATTTTGGGATCAACTCTTTAATCTTCTCATCATAGTATTCTATTGCATCTACCTTTTTACCCATAAGACCTAGAAAGCCAGTTTTAGCAGTTGGTCTCGTTCCTTCTGGGGTGCTTGTTTGTTTTGACTCTGCATATATGGTTTCTGCACGTTCAAGCTTCTTTTTGTACCCTTCTAACTCTTCATAAATTTTGTTGACCTAGTACAACAAGCAAAACACTTTGAAGCCTACATCCATTTAAATTTTGAAAAAAGCCAAACAATCCAAAAGGGGAAAAATAAGAAACGGCAATCTAAAAAGAATATCAGCTACTTGTATATACCTTCTTATTGTCTGTGACCACCACTGAGCGATAAAATGTGTCTGGATAGATTGTCTTAAAATATGAGTCCACCTGCTCCTTTCTAGTTTGACCTTCAGGGACAGGAGGTATGTCTCGGACAAGAACACCAAACTGCTCAAGCTTGACATCAGGAGACATAAGTGCTGCTGCTCTCAGGTCAGAAACATGTTTGTATGCCTTCCATAAGAGGCAATACGCAGCAAAGGATACCCAATAAGTAGCTGCCAAAAAAGCCCACAACCGTGGACTTTTCAACTGCAGTTCACAAGAAAATAAACTTCAATTGAGCACATCAGATAAGATTTGGTCCTTTGAAACAACCATCTGCAGTGATCAGTGTTATATAACTTAAACGAAAATTTGCGAACAGCAGAAATCTATGGGGGAAACTATGCTTTTGGCACGGGAGAAATCTCAAATTTTAGAATGCAGTTCTCCAGTTAAGAGATTCATAGTTGCCCTAGATTACTTCTGCGCGCACACGAAGAGGCAATAGGAAGAAACTTACTTCGATATGCCCCATAGACAGCTTATCAATGTCATTGAAAGTTCCTTCACTGGTGGTGTTATCTGCCTTCACTCCAGGAGAAGTAAAAGCAATTGGTAGAAGTACAGGCAGAAGCAGAAGGCCAGCTAAAACCAATATTCCCAACACTGCATTAAACAATAAGTGTAACATCTAATATAAGTAACATCTAATATAAGTAGAATTGCATATCTTAAAACATTGTATGATTATGATAAGAAAAGAAATCTTGCCTTTGAGAAATTGATAAGTTACTATGCAGTTACAGCTAGCATATAACAAAACAAAAATAGACCCCACATAACTGAACCACTCTATAATTTATCACAATTATGACTCAAAAGAGAACAGCTTCAACGATTATCGGGGTGCTTCTGCACAATTGACTAATTATGCAACAATCCCTTATTCCTCAAAGAATAAAATATGTCAGTTTATATTTAGACACGCACAAGCAAATGGATTAGAGAGCAGATAAGTTTAATATAAAATTTAGTACAAAAAATTTTCGGATCCTTATTTTGGTCAGGGTAACCACATAGCCTGGGATTTAAGCCTTTAAGGCAAGATTAGTGTGCCATCAAATATTGGGTAAACATTTGCCGGAGAAAAGTTCTACAAATTAAAAGCATTATCCTTGAAATGAGTTCGGGAGGGAAGAATTCCAAGATTTTAATATTTTTGGGAGGCAACTACAACACACCTTGAAGCCCCTAGTTTCCACAAGTTCAGTGGTAGCTATAAGCCTATATCTATATTTCTTAAAAACTGGACGAAATCTTAAAATGCTTTCAGATAAATATAATCTTATTTTTCTCAAAAAAATTTATAGAAATGCAAAGTCAGTGACAAAGCTTAACAGATTATCTGCATAAAAAGCCAAACAGTCCCGAAAATAATGAAAGTTACGTAACTTTCGCAAGTATGGAGCTGCCAGTTGGGCTCACATCATCGGCTTTATTTATTCATGTCCCTTACTAATCCTATCTTTTGTTCTGCCCGACAGAGCAGCAATTTGAAGTACTAAAACTTCAGAACCATTAACGCATAGATAGACAGACTCCGACAAAAGAAAGCTTATCTTCAAGACATTTCTTGATAATAAAGTTTTTTGTAATTGGGTGACAAAATATTTTTCATCGGAGTATAAAGGGTCAATCCTCAGGTTCCATAAACTCAGCAATCAGCATCACTTGATAATTCATGACTCATGGACCCACATAGGATCATGTGGGGTCAATCGACCCCACAAATTTTATTTTTTTTATTTATTTATTTTTTTTAAATATGTAAATTATCCAAACCTTGTCCATTGCCAAGCCCAATTGCACAAGCCTTCTTTCCGCTCCTTCACGTGGCTTTTCATATGCATTTGGACTTTACTCTAAACCCCACAAAGAGAAGAATTGACACAGTGATCCATGGAGAGTTCGAGACCATTCAAATTTTAAGATTTTCTCTTTTTGTGCTAATTTTTTTTATTTTTCTTCCCTCTAGGTAACAAATCAACAGCCTACTTGTTTGATTTTATATGTTTTTATACTAAATTTCATAAAAATTTGAGATTTGAGAAATATTGTCGACCACATTCCGATTGCTTATTTTCTCCTCTAAAACTAAAAGTTTGAACGGTTAATGCAGATCAATGATTCAACATAATGTTCATAGTTATTCAAAATTATGACTCCAGGTTCTCAGAAAGTCAAGATTTTTTATTGTCTTCCTCTTCTGCTGCATAGTTTAATTTTTAGCTTATTTCATCTTCATATTTAAATTAAATTGATTAAAATATTCAAATATTTTTAGTTTGACAATGATAGAAGTCAAAAACAACAATTTTGTTAGCAATAATTGCTTATAAAAGTCTCGAAGATATGAAATTTTGATGTGTTATGAGATTGAACAATGTGTTTTAACCTCCACTTGTATAATTTAGTTGGATAATGCGGATGTAGTAGTGTACTGACTTATCTTCATTAATGATATGTTGTTTAAAAAAAAAAAAAAATTGTATTTCAATTTTTTACCCCAGAATACCGAAAGTCTGGCTTCGTCCCTGATTCATGTTTTTCGGGGTGGTCTTCCTTTCTTTTGTGCAAATGAATAGATCCTTGAAACTTAAGCTAAAATAAGTACTTTTGCCTTAAAATCCATGAACTGGCACTAGCATAATTAATGCAATACAAATATCTAACAGAACATCATATAAATCTTCACAAATTGTCGTGTCGATATAGAAATAAATCTGTGTGAAAATACTTACCAGTTGTTAGGAAGACAAAGTAGACAGCAGAATCAACACCGGACAAGTTGATGACATCCGCTTCAGTGGAGGCAAGAGCCTCACGGATCCAAGCGAACGGGTTCCGGGTTAGCCGAATTCCCTCATATGGATCCAAACCCTTGAGGATCCGATTCGGGTAGTATACCACAAAGTTCCCCGGTCGCCTCGAAAGCCACGTGAAAAGGAACATGAGCACCACAAATATCACGAACGACGTCCCTAAAGACGTCAAGAACGAACTGAAATCCATATGGGTTTCTTCTCAAATCAACAACCCACGTCCGAATCTAGATCTTTTTCCTCTCTACAGAATGTAATTACTGTTATGGTGGGTGTGGGTGTGAATGAATGCAATTAGTGGCAATAACTGATAACAATTATGAAGCTCTGAGATTTGAAAGGGCGGTAAGTAACCGTTGATAGAAGTTGAAAGGGACAGGAGAGAAATTGGTCGTTGAGATATTAAAAAAATTTACATGATTAGATCTTTATAATAGCAGAGAAAATATCTGCTTCCGCGTACGATCCGCTTATAAAAAGCATTTGTGCGAATTCGTGCTTGTCGACAAACTCTTCTTTTAATGCTGGATGAAGTGTCTTGTGAGTAAAGCGGAGTTTGATTGGATTGGGTGGGGACAGAGAATTTGATGGAGATTGTATCTTTCCCAAGTTAGACATTATTGTTGAAGAAATAATTTTAGTTTTTTTATTTATTTGAGATTATAAGTTATTGAATTTCACTTTTAATAATATATAATTGAATCCATAAGTTCTATTCAATTTATAATCATACAGGACTCGCTAACTTAAAATCTCAAAAAAAAATTGTTAAATAGGATATGAATCAAGAACCGAACTTGATGTACAAGCCACTCACACATGCAAGGGAGCGATGGAGCTAGCTGTACAGGCTACTTATACATGCAAGAAAGTGGGTGAATTTTTATTTTTTATTTTTAAATAATCGTCCACCCACATCAATATGTGTCTAGCATTTACACGCTCTGTACAGCCAGAATTATTCATGAATCAATATATTCATTTAAACAAATTAAAATAGCTTCGATGATCTTTGAAACTTGCATGCAAATAAAAAACATGAATTTACTTTGTGATTGTTGATAAAACCTCGTTAAATTTTATCAAAATTTTAATTTTAACCACATATTTTTATTAAACTTCCATCTTTCATCAATTTTTTAATCAAATATTACATCAATTTTTATCAGAAAACTGTCAGACAGACACCTCCTTTGTGTAGAAACAAAAACAAGTAATGCAGCTCTCTTTGCGGAAGGAGTCCAAATGAGTTGTGGGAACCTGGGAGCCAACAAGGGCACATCCTGCGATTTACCTCCCTGAGCAGCTGAGGGGCCGAAGGTTCAGGGACAAGGATCTAGTCGGACGCAAGCCTGGACACCTTGTAAAAAAAAAAAAAAAACAAGTAATGCAAGTGCACTTGCAATATGTAATCAATTTTTGTAGGCCATTATAAAATTATGAATTTAATTCTTTTTACTAATTAAAAATTAAGTCCTTTTTTCGGATGCAGAATCAGTTGTCTTTTCCATAAATTAGATGATTTAAATTTTAAACGCTTTTCAGCTTTCCATTTATTACTTTAAAAAATAAATAAACTATTTTTTCTCTTTTTCTTAACGTATCATTGAGGTGGGCCACCACGTCATTGATTGGCGACCCGGGTTGGTTGTGGACTATAATTGTCCACACTTACTAATCAATTAAAGAAAGTATTCTTTTCACTTTCATTTAACTCATTAATTTGTCGGTAGAAGTTTTAATTTAAACCCTTGATTAAGCCGTTAAGAACGTATTTTAAAATAATAGATTGATAAAGAATGTGTAATTAAAAAAAATGAGTTTGCATTTGATATTATTTTATTGAAACATTTGTGGTTGAAAACGAGAGAGAGAAATACAGTTTGAAATAACGGGGATCAAACAAGGACTAAACAATTTAGCCCCAGATGCTTAAAAATAGGAAAAATTTTGATTTATATATAAAATATATGAATGTGAGATTGAAAATGAATTTGATGAAAAAAATATTTTTTGAAATAATGGTAGACGTAGGTTTCAAGTTACTCCCTTATGTTCAAAAATAGTAAAATATATAGATAAAGTCACATTGATAGAAAAATATTAACAAATACTTTAATAAAATGAATGTTAACAAGATATGGGCCCTCGATACATCTCATCAAATTAAATTAAAATTTTTCTTTCTATTTTTAATTATACATTCTTCAATAAAATAACATTACACTTAAATTAAAAAAATTTCTTCTTTTACAACTATTTATTTTATTTTAAAAATATTATTCTCCCATTATAATCAAAATTAATAGGGAACAAACAAGGACATGATTGGATGAAAAATTAATTGTGTTTTAAATAATCTTAGAATGGGGGCATTTGTTTTCCCTTTTTGCAAAAATAAGAATGAAAAATATAGTCGTTATGAACCTCACACAAGAAATATAAATTTAAATTTGATGACTTAATGTGATGAATACTCATTATTTTTATTTTAATGAAAAAAATAGAAAATAAACAGGGACAATATATCGTCGTGTCACATTATCTCCATCATATTCAAAATATATAATAAAGAATCTAGTCGGATTAAGACAATGTTGATGTCGTGGTGGTGGCAAGTGGAAGGACGCGTGTCAGTTGCACAATGTTGCCGACACTTTCCGCTGGGCGATGGTGACAATATATGTGGAGCCCACTCATCTACAGTCTACGGATATATATCCTATTAAACCCAATTAACAGTTGGCAGTTGGTCTTTTGGATTTTGTCTACTTCTGCCCATTGATTGATAAAAGAATTGCCACGTATGAACTTCCTCTGGACCGGAAAAGAGCCTTTTGTTTTTTTGTGTGACGAGGAAATGTCTCCTAAGCTCTCGTTTCACCCTCGTTAAATTACATTCTATTTTTCTCTCTTATATTCAACCACACAATTTTTCATAAAATAATATACATGTAAATAGAAAATTTTTCTTTTTTTTTCAACCACTCATTTTTAAAAGAAATATTATTCCATCCATTTTCATTACCAGAAAATGGGGGCCAAACGGGAGCTTATTATTATTTGTGGAGAAATTTTTGGGTTTCAAGCAAACAAAATTTGTGGAGATACCATTAGCCCCTCCTATGGCTTGTATTTCTTTTCATTTCAATATAAATAAAAATACTTCACCTTCTCTATGTTTTGAAGAAGAAAAAAATTTGAGAAACTGAAAATTGGCGACTCCACATGTCACCGTCATACGTTGTCACGGGCAAGATCATACCCCTTATATAATAATGTTATTCAGAACTAATGGTGCTAAGTACCGAATCATGAGACATTCAAGTGTCAATATTTGATAAAGCACTTTATAAGCAGAAAAATAAGTTGCATTTAAAATGTCATATCATTTACATGCTGCCAAGATTAGTGCTACATATCTTTACTCACTCACCAATCGTGAAAAGTTTATGAGCTTAAAATTTAGAGCTTATTTGAGCCCCTTTTTTGTCAAATATTCATTTTGGAATAATATGTTGATGGAGAATCTGTGATTAAAAAATAACGAAAAGTTTTGAATTTGCATATAATATTACTTTGAAGAATGTGTAATTAAAAATAAAAAATATATATATATTTTAAATATAATGGAGATCAAATAAGAGCTTAGACTAAAAACAGTTCACTCAGTACCAGTCAAAGAGCCATGTTACTTCACAAAAGAAGGAATCTTTCCACATAATTCTGAGATGAATTGCAATGTTGAACACACATTTGTGAGAGTAAAATTCATGATGCCCAGCCCTAACAAAACTTACATGTACAGTACACTTTTGTTAATGGCTATTTACTTGACGTAGTCCAACTCCAGGGTAGCAACAATCCTATACAACTTAGCGCAATCTGGTCATTAAACAGCTTTGGGGAAATTAACTCAAAACCTCATCCATTACTCGAAGATAGCTGCCTCTAGTTCAGCTCCATCCTTCACAACCCCGGCCTGGTAAAACCAATTTCATCCGTACTTATGGATGAAATTGTACCTAGAAAGAAATATCAGTAGGTACAACGTGAACTTACTCATCTTCAGACCTAAACTCCATTCGGTTAAAAATTGCAGCAACAAGCTCGACCCTTACTCAGATTATCCCACAGACAGATCATTTGTCTTGGTGATTGATAATGTGCAGTGTAATAGTTTTCCATGCACCCATATTGACAGAACTTCCAATTATGAGAGTACTGAACCTTTTTCGTACTGTTGAACTGCTCGACCCACATTCCCATGCTAACATCCTCCATTTTAAATAGCTGTCAATAAGGGAGGCGGGTGTGATATCAAAGCTCAGTAAAGAGTAATTAAAGTTAAGATTTCCAGAAGAAAATGTAAAAACATCAGATTACACACACCCTGAGACTCCGATTTGTGTGCTGGGACACGATGTATTTGGCAATGTCACTGGATATTATGTATCCAGGCCCATTTGCATAGGGAGGATAGATTTCTTCTGGCCATTCCTGTACAAGAGATACATTGTTGATACATAGTAAACCAGAATCAAATTTCATTTACATGCAGATGAAACTTTATACCTGATAGGTCACAGCCCATTTCCCATTTCTAAGAGGCCGGTGATGGAGATTGAGATTGCCCATATACAAAGGCTTTGTGGAAGGCACGCCTTCAATTTCTTTTAGGACGGTATCCACCCTAATAAAATTGTCATCATCACATTTCATAATGTGAGCAGCTGTGACATTTTGAACCTACAATGGAAATGTTTGCACAATAAGAGAAGATAATTCCACCTAAAACCCAAGTATAAACATGTTTGCCTAAGCTCAAAAGTATACTTAAAACTAATAAACTTTTTTCTAAAATGAAACAATTACTTTATCGGTAAAAGTTGGAAATAAATTTTTACTTATTCAAAATTAAGTTGGAGTGACATTAAACATAATAATATTTTTTTACTTGGCCCCTGTTTAAGCCCCATTTTCTTTTTAGAATAGATTTCGTAAAAAGTGATTTTTTTTTCAAAAATGTGTGGTTGAAAATAAGTTTGGGATAATGAATTTTAAAAAATGGGGCTCAAACGGGGGCTTATAAAATGAAAAAGAAAAAAACCAACACAACCAACATGTTTGAAAACAAAAAGTTACTTGGCTCGTGTCTGGTTTGGCTAAAAATCAAATGTTTAGAAGATTTTAATAAAAGTTGATTAAATGCATGTTGAAAAGTTGAAAAAAATTGTGGGTCTCATAAAATATGTAATTGAAAATGAGTTTAGAGAAAAATGAGTTAAAAATTGGGACCAAACAGGATCTAACTTTACTTTAAAGCTTAGCTAAATGTGCTTATTGATTGCAAAGATAAAGAGCGAGAACATGTAGCAAAAAAAAGTGAGAAACGCGGCAGAACATACCCCATACTCACAAATGGCGATAGTTTTAAGAACCACTAGCTCATAACGATCCATGAATGGTAAAATTACTATATCACCAAAGTAAGCAGCCTCTTTCTTCAGTATTGCATTCACCTCCTTCCTTGGATTCTAAAGTGAACATCTTTAGGTCAGTGATCATTCCAGCAAATATATTACACATTGAAAAAAATAAATAAATAAATAAATAATATTTGTCACGAAGAAAGTCAAAAACAAAAAAAAAATAGTATTAAGAAAACAAAAAAAATAGTATTAAGAAAACCCTGTAACAATTAGTCATCTAAATGCACAAAGTACTCCTTTCTTCTAAAAGTACAAAGACATGTACACTATAATTGGTACTGTACTACCTGCATATTTAAAAGAATGACATCAATTGGTTATACCGACAAACTAATAACATAAGTACCCACAGAAAAGAATGAAATTAAAATTCAAAAAAGTATGACTTACTAGTGCAACAAAGAAGCGGACTGCTACTTTAGAGGACTTGATAGCTGAAGATTGCATCCATGTCTTTCTTATCGCCATGCGTTCAGCAAAATGATTGGTGGCGGAGAGAACCCCAATAAATAGTTGTATATTACTCTGGGGTATGGGTTGAGACTTCCACTTCTCCAAGAATTCCAATACTCTTTTAGTTGAGAAACTAGGATGAGAGGTAGGAAGAGATGTAGCATATACTGAATGAACGTCAACATCGCCTTTGATTGCCAATCCTGTTGCATCTTCCAATATGAACCCCTGAAGTAAATATATGTATCGGATAAGAAATAAATTACTATAATCACTGGAGCAAGCAACACAAAGAAAAAACAAACTGCAACCCAATGAAATATGGAAATAAAAATTATGGCTTCAAGATGTTGGGGAGCACTTAAATCATGAAGAATTGACCAATGCTGAGCAGCAGAATAGGAGGAGAGAATTAAAATCACAAAAGTAATGAACGTAATAACAAGAAACCAAGCATTATTCCCACTACGTACCGGACTATCTATAGAAATCCATTTTCGCGACTCTGGTGTGTTCATTGTTACATCTATTGGAAGATCCGGAGCAACTAGAACATACCATACTAATATTCACGAAGAAGTTACAATTATCTATTTTATCCTTAAAAATCATATTGAAAAAAATGTATAAAGGTTTCGAAAATATTTTCCATAGCAGGTTGTTTAAGTTCTTTATATCAACAGGTCGCATTTGAAAAAAATTGTAACGAATCATTATGATGCTATATAAAGGAACTTCATCAGGCACCTTCAAGACAGGAATATACCGTCCGATAAGGGAATGAGGTCATGTGCCGACCTCCGGCATTCATGTGGTATCCATCAACACCAGCGCGAATAGTTAGAACAAACATTCTGCCCTCTACAAATGGAAATGGCCAGGTTACTTCAGGTTTCTTTGCACGTCCTATGAACCTATCAAACCATGAAAATAGTTTGGACTCTTTTGTGTCAATAATATCGTTCCTCATCCATTTTTCACACCGCAAGTATCCATCCACTGCCAAGGATAATGTATTAGATATTTAATAAAATCCAATCATCAACAGTCAAGGATAATGTTCTAAACATATAGCCCTCGTTTGGCCCCCTTTTTTGAAATGAAAATGGATAGAATAATGTTTTTTTGAAAAATGAGTGATTGAAAAAGAAGGAAAAATTTTTGATTTACGTGTAACATTATTTTATGGAATATTGTGTGGTTGAAAATAGAAGAGAGAAAAATGAAAGGTAATTCAATGGGGGCATAATGAAATCCAACAATCGTATATAACATCAAGGATATCAATGTAAAACAAAATAGGATGCATAACTAGATCACAAAATAGCCAGTGTCTCTTGCCAAAGCACATAAAAGTTCATTGGCATTATAGAAGCAAAGAAAAACATAGCACGCCAAAGATTCCATTTTTGTGCCAAAGGATTGAAGTTCGGAAAATCAACGGAATTTTTATTTATTTTCTATTTTTGTTCTGTCATTTAATCAGAAAACATTCTTTTCTTTTTTCCCCTTTCTCTGGGGGGATGGGGGGTTGTGATTCAAATGAAAGATGCAGAAAACGGCAACAAACAGGCAGACATTGGTGACAACCATTAAAAGTCTTCCCAAATCTTAGTGGTATGCTTCAGCTCATAAAAGGGGAGAGAGACAGACAGGAAGAGGAAGGCAGAGGGTAAATTTATACGTACGTAATTCTATAACACTTGTCACTTGCACATTTTGTTGTTATTGAATCCAATAAGGGAAAGATTATGTTACAAATCCATTAAAGCCAGACCCTATGACTACCTAAATGTCATTTCACGGTTTAATTGTCATTTCTGGTAATCAAGATTCTATCTCAGTTTTAATTAAAAAAAAGAAATTTGCTTTCATTGTCGCGTCATAATCAAAAAATGTACTTGTCTAATGCTTGAAATCACTTCTAGACAGCCAGGCTGCGCATCTGCATTTTATATCAACAGCTAAAGGCAGATATTGTCGAAGTACATTTCTTAGTTTACATTTTTACTTGAGCATTATAGCAGCAGGCTCCTAAATAAATTTTTACATAGGCATGTCCAAAAGCATATATCTTAAATATTAGAATGATGCAGAAGGTAAGATAGGCTAACCAAGAGGCTTTACCTAACATGTCGTCGTCATTCTTGGATGGCAAACCATCACACCTTTGAGCCGTCCCCCATTGCATTCTATAGCATGTATTGTGCTCAATTACTGGTCGATGGCTCCAATCACCTCTCAATCGAGGATTCAAATGCAGAATCTTTGGCGGATCTTCCCCATCTACAGACTTCAATCCTTGCAGTTCAATCATAAACTGGGAAACCAGTACTGTAGCATCATCGAACCTCAATTTGGCAAGCTGTGGCACATATTCCTTATGAGCATAATGTGGAGTTCCAATCACTGTGATCGATGAACCAGCAGCTAGACCACATGGAAGGAACATGATGCGATCTCTCCCATTTAATTCATCTCCACTCACTGAAACCCATGAAGGACATGTCTCGGGCTTCACCTCTGACATAGTACTCATCTTAATCTCCTTTTCATCATATTTATCTACTTCGTCCCAGGCCTTCAAGCCTAATGTCCAAGCCTCATCTGCCATTTGCTCCAACACAGAAAATTTAGCTGTCCTATTCATTCGCTTCAAAATCTCAGCAGTTATTCGACCATACTGATGTTGAATAGGCTTTATGCGTAGAGCACCATCCTTTTTCCTCAGAAAGACTTCCTGTGGAGGCTTTATAGAAGCATCTTGATTCTCATTGTTCTGTAAGTGATATCCATCCACAGAAACAGAATTCTGATGTGATTTACTTATTTCTGCAACCTCATCATCCCCAACGGGCAAGTCATCCATACCCAAATCAATATCATTGCCACTTAAAACTGCTGCAGTCTCAAAAAACTCAGGGAATCTAATGAATATAAGAATCAAGTACAACACAGCTACACCCAACAAAAAATATGACAATTTGAACCTCCTTGCACTTTGAGACTCGCCTTTTAATCTCTTCATCTCTAGAAACTAAACAAACTAACCAAAAATCCTTGACACGTGTAGCCAGATGTCTCATCAAATCTCTCTGTCACACATACCATAACCATAAAATTAAGGACATATCCAGCGAAGGAATACAAAATGAACAGAACCTTCGGGTATAACTTTCATACAAAAGCCCCATTACAATAATACCGGTCTAAAACAATACTCACCAAGAATATCTGAATAACAGATAAAGAATACTCTCCCATTATGGTTCCCACAGAGATGAACAATTGAAATTAGCAAATCTACTATTAAACTAATCAACGATTCTACGAACTAACATCGGTCAACAACATAAAGATCACATTTTCAGAATACTGAAAAGCGAATCGGGTGAAACCCTAGTTCTCCAGCATTCCATGGCATTGCCAGATGCAATTAATTACAGCCCTGATGCACCCAACTTGAGTGTTTCAGTCAATAAATAAAATAAACGCGTCAATCGAACTAATTTAAGAAAATGTATGAAAATACAGCAGATCAATGTTTGAACTTGAAGGTGATTTGGGAGAGACCCGAAACCGTATCTTTTGATGACGATAAAGGGGAAAGCAAATCCCTACACATACGCAGGTACAAACGTGGGTCAGTGCAATTGGGAAGAACGTGTGCGTTGATTTGGAAAGAGGAATCACAGTGAATAATAAAACAAGAAGAATTACACCAGAAACACAAATTATTAAAATTTGTGGGAGTCTTTTAAATTAACCAACAAATAAAGTGCACTGAAGCTTAATTTAAAAACCGCATTTGCAAAATTATTGTTGGAAGTTCTTTGAATTTTTATTCAAATATTTTTTGAAATTTGGATATCTTGATCTTGCTATAGTTTTGAGTTCACTTTACCTGTTTCGACAATATAAGGCTTTAAACAAATAATTTTAACAAAAAATAATTATTTATCAGGTCAGAAAGTAAATGACTTGTGATGAAAGAAATTAAGAAAAACATAAAGAACAAGAAAATGGGAAAAAAAAATTGCAAAACTCTTCCCAATTCGCCTATCCAGACGGATTTTTCCTATGTCTGGTAAATCACTAGAAAAAAAATGCAATGTTGAAAACCAGAGACCTAGATCAAGGAGAAAAGTGGATCGACTAGATGAAAATCCTCAAGTGAATCAAGCACCACTACTAAAGATCCTCTTATTGAGGAATTCGGTGGCCTCCCAATTCTATTGAGTATATGAGGGCTTTTAGGATATTGTGAAACTTCATGACGTGCAAGATGCTATCACCCTGTCGAGCTTCCCCTCTAACCCTCGGGAAAGAGGTGAGAGATTAATATAAAACATTAGAGCAACCCCAATCACAACACCAAAACGTTATTTTTCACCAAATATTTGGTGCAATCTCACTCCAACCTAAGAACAAATTTTGCACCATTGTGCAATACTATTCAGTTGCACGATTTTGCACCAAATGATATGGAGCGTATTTGTATCATTTTATATTATACATAAATTTTAATTCTTAATTAAGTAATTTTATTATTATTATTATTATTATTATTATTATTATTATTATTATTATTATTATTTGAAACAAACTTTAATTCTGTAAGCAATAATAATTGATGAATGAATTAAAATAAAAGTACTCAAAAGTTTAAAATGCAGCAAACATGATTAAAGACTTCCTGTGGAGGCTTTATAGAAGCATCTTGATTCTCATTGTTCTGTAAGTGATATGCATCCACAGAAACAGAATTCTGATGTGATTTACTTATTTCTGCAACCTCATCATCCCCAACGGGCAAGTCATCCATACCCAAATCAATATCATTGCCACTTAAAACTGCTGCAGTCTCAAAAAACTCAGGGAATCTAATGAATATAAGAATCAAGTACAACACAGCTACACCCAACAAAAAATATGACAATTTGAACCTCCTTGCACTTTGAGACTCGCCTTTTAATCTCTTCATCTCTAGAAACTAAACAAACTAACCAAAAATCCTTGACACGTGTAGCCAGATGTCTCATCAAATCTCTTTGTCACACATACCATAACCATAAAATTAAGAACATATCCAGCGAAGGAATACAAAATGAACAGAACCTTCGGGTATAACTTTCATACAAAAGCCCCAGTACAATAATACCGGTCTAAAACAATACTCACCAAGAATATCTGAATAACAGGTAAAGAATACTATCCCATTATGGTTCCCACAGAGATGAACAATTGAAATTAGCAAAACTACTATTAAACTAATCAACGATTCTACGAATTAACATCGGTCAACAACATAAAGATCACATTTTCAGAATACTGAAAAGCAAATCGGGTGAAACCCTAGTTCTCCAGCATTCCATGGCATTGCCAGATGCAATTAATTACAGCCCTGATGCACCCAACTTGAGTGTTTCAGTCAATAAATAAAATAAACGCGTCAATCGAACTAATTTAAGAAAATGTATGAAAATACAGCAGATCAATGTTTGAACTTGAAGGTGATTTGGGAGAGACCCGAAACCGTATCTTTTGATGACGATAAAGGGGAAAGCAAATCCCTACACATACGCAGGTACAAACGTGGGTCAGTGCAATTGGGAAGAACGTGTGCGTTGATTTGGAAAGAGGAATCACAGTGAATAATAAAACAAGAAGAATTACACCAGAAACACAAATTATTAAAATTTGTGGGAGTCTTTTAAATTAAAAGTGCACTAAAGAGTAATTGAAAAACCACATTTGCAAAATTATTGTTGAAAGTTCTTTGAATTTTTATTCAAATATTTTTTGAAATTTGGATATCTTGATCTCGCTATGGTTTTGGGTTCACTTTACCTGTTTCGACAATATAAGGCTTTAAATAAAAAATAATTATTTATCAGGTACGAAAGTAAATGACTTTTGATGAAAGAAATTAAGAAAAACATAAAGAACAAGAAAATGGGAAAAAATTGCAAAACTCTTCCCAATTCGCCTATCCAGACTGATTTTTCCTATGTCTCTGGTAAATCACCAGAAAAAAAAGGCAATGTTGAAAAACCAAGGACTTAGATCAAGGAGAAAAGTGGATCAATTAGATGAAAATCCTCAAGTGAATCAAGCACCACTACTAAAGAGCCTCTTATTGAGGAATTTGGTGGCCTCTCGATTCTATTGAGTATATGAGGGCTTTTAGGATATTGTGAAACTTCATGACGTGCAAGATGCTATCACCCTGTCGAGCTTCCCCTCTAACCCTCGGGAAAGAGGTGAGAGATTAATATAAAACATTAGAGCAACCCCAATCACAACACCAAAACGTTATTTTTCACCAAATATTTGGTGCAATCTCACTCCAACCTAAGAACAAATTTTGCACCATTGTGCAATACTATTCAGTTGCACGATTTTGCACCAAATGATATGGAGCGTATTTGTATCATTTTATATTATACATAAATTTTAATTCTTAATTAAGTAATTTTATTATTATTATTATTATTATTATTATTATTATTATTATTATTATTATTATTTGAAACAAACTTTAATTCTGTAAGCAATAATAATTGATGAATGAATTAAAATAAAAGTACTCAAAAGTTTAAAATGCAGCAAACATGATTATTTATCACACTAGTTCAACTTTGTCGTATCATAATATCGGGATTTAAAATGTACTTCATTATTTTTTTAATAACATGAATTAATATTTCCTTATTTGTGATATTTTTATTTATTGTACTATATTTTTAAAATTTATTAACAAATTTAATATTTTCATAAACTAAACGTAATTATTTATGTGGTAATTTATGCAGTAGCAAATTAAATAAATAAATAATTTTTCAACTGTATAAATTTTTAAATATAAAAAAATGAAGAAAATGATAAAACACTATTCATTTGATACAACTTTTGGTATAATGAGTTGGAGTTGATTTTAAATTTGATTCAAAATTTGGTAAAATTTTGGTGTAGGGCTGGAGATGGCTTTAACTTCACAATCAATCACCTCATTCCCCCCACATTCCACCAAGTTTTTTCCATTACCTTTTGCAAACAATACGAGACAAGAAAACTACAATTGGTATGGTGTAAGTTATGCGTAAAGATGAATCACTTAGGGATTATCTCACTCATTTATAACTGTAAATAAGGCCTTTCGTCTTCTAAATTAAATCACATTGATTCCCATTCTCATAACAACATACCAAATTCATACTTTTTGCCCAAATTTTCATTCATTTTCTCCAAAAGCTCGTCCAATATTGAGTTCTATCTAAACAAATAATATTTACACAAGACTAATCAATAATTCTCTAAAAGTACTTCCAAATTTTCATATTCAACAGTTTAGATAATTGCATAAAATACTTATCAAATACCCCCAATTGGGAATATTTGTTCGTCACAGAACAAAATCGTATACTTATCTTGACACAAAAACATGCAAAATACAAAATAGCTAGATAGCTTGCCATATCGCTTAACGTTTTGGAACTCTCATTCAAAATCTATAAAGAGCTTCAAAGTCACATTATCATGATTAAATTATACCCATTCGATGTCAAATCGACGCGGTTTGTGAAGAAGTGAGTCAAACCTCATAAATTCATAAATTGATTCAATTTTCGTCCCTCAATGATTAAATATATCATTTCTTCACTCGAAAAATGCATATTCCAAAACTTGTTATTTAAACTTTCTCCCTTGATGTATTTTAAAGATGAAATCATAATAACTCATTTCCATCTCTAGTTTGATTAGATTATCATTAACCATATCATCACGTCAACAAATAAAGATTCTCTCATATTTTTATTGTTTCAATCTAGAAGACTAAAATAATCATTGCCAAAAGCCTAATTTCCTTAAATAAGTGTTAAAGGCTCAATCATACATATAATGCATCTTTTGTTTCATGCACTTGCTTTTTTTCAAAATTGTTGTGTACACTCTATTTTCATCCTAGCTTTGATCCTTTTGAGTTTTCTTTTATGGATTTTCAAATGTGTGTGATCATTATGATAGTTTATAGGGTAATTTCACTCATGGAATATGGTAGCTTTTATCCTTTTTCTGAACTTCTTAGTGCAATGCCCGTATTATGACGCTTAATCTCAAGATCAAACTTCTAACAAGAGATTTCTACCTAATTTTTTACTGTTGGTCTAAAATAATCCACATAATAGTTTTTCATGCATGGAAACAACTTTTATCTCAATAGCTTCCTACATTGATTTGATCACCCCTCAAATGGTCTCAGGGTTGTATGATAGGATAGTGGTTTGAGTTTAGCAATCTAGTTCAAGTACTTCAACATGTTCATGTTATAAATCAACTTACAAATTCAAAATGTATAACTCAATTTACGCGCACGATTAATATCAAGTTCCATGAGGATAAACATCAAATAATCTAAGCACGCAACATAGTCATAGTTTATATGTCAACAAGTAATTCCAAATATATCATCATAGTCGATAAGGATATTAACTCCCCACAAGCATTCAAGTAGAAAAATTTTCTTTTTTACTTTTTGAATTTTTTCAAAGTTTTTAATTTTTATCTTATTTTTCATGTAATAGAAAGCATTAAAAATATTGCGTATTCATAAAGGAAACAAATATTGAATTTGCAATTACAATAATTTATGTTGATAGTTTAAATCTAATTAAAACTCGTGAAGAGTTCAACAAAATTGTATAATTTGAAAAATGAATTTGAGGTAGAAGTTTTGGGAAAACTAAATTTTGTCTTGAGTTGTAGAGTGAACATTTTTAAAAAATGATTATCTATTCATCGGTCATCATATAAAGATAAATTTTATAATATTTTCATATGGATAAAAGCATCTCAATTGGCATCACATGTGATTATT